CTTGGACATGGCACACCAAATACTTTATCCATTGTGGAGTAGGTTGTAAGAGGGTTGGATCTGTTCTGCTCCTTCCCAGCCAATCTGTGTTTATTGATCCTTTCCTTTCCAGTCCCATTTATGCTGTGTATGTAGTTCTCAACTATCCCAATCTATTTCAACCCGTGAAATCCGTGTTTATGAATCCTCCCCTGTATCTTCCCATCTCTCTGCATTTGGTCTGTGTGCCCATTCCATTGCTAGGAGCAGCGAGGGAGCTAAATAAGATGGCAAGTACTGTAAGGCTTCAGAGAAGGGAGATGGGTTTCAGCTGGGGTGTTCAGGGAAAGTCACTAATCTTAAGAAGCGTTGAGTGGCAGACTGTCCAGAGAAAGGGAGGCGATAATTCCACCGTCTGGTGTCTGGGTCAGATACCATCTGGAATACTATACTTAGTTCTGGGTATCACATTGGGGTACATCCACAAAAGGACAAGTAGGATGGTGCCAGGACTGTAGACCTCGTTAGAGGAAGACTGGATGAAAGATCTATGAGTGTTGAGCCTGGAGGGTGAGGGAGGTGGAGTGGCGTGAGCCCTTTTCATGGGAAAGATCCATGAGCCCTCAGAGGACGAGGAGATAGTGGTAAGTGGCAGCAGGAGAGCTGCAGAGACTGATTTCAGTTCAGTTGAAGAAACAGCTTCCCAGCAATCAGAGCAGTCCAAAAGTGAGATGAATGTCCCATCTCGGCAAGTAGTGGGCTCTCTGTCACCACAGATCTTTGAGCAGATTCTGGACGAACATTTGTTGGGAGATATTAGAGGGGATGCCAGGCCAGGGCTTTGGGTTGGACTCTAAGGACGCTTCTGGCTCAGGATTCTAGGAGTCTCTGAAGGCTCCCTGGGAGAGGGGTGACTAAGTCTTGAAGACTGGGTAGGGTTTGGCTAGGTAGCATTCAGTGTAGCATATTTCAGATGGATGGGGGACAGGGAGAAAAGCAAGAACAAAACCATGGAGCTAGGAAACGATTATTTGGGGAAGACACAGGGATAAAGTTTGACTAGGGGCAGGGTGGTGGTAGCAAATTATAGAGGGCCTAAAAAAAAGCCAGGTTTGGTCAGTCAATAAGGTATTACCATATCTTTTTAAGCTCAGGCATGAAGGCAGCTAGGTGGTTCAGTGGATAGAACACTGGTTCTGGAGTCAGGAAGACCTGAGTTCAAATCCAGCCTCAGAGACCCATTAGCTGTGTGACTGTGGGCAAGTCACTTAACCTGTTTGCCTAATCCACTGGAGAAGGAAATGGCAAACCACTCAGGGATCTTTGCCAAGAAAATCCCATACAGGGCTACAAAGAGTTGGACACAACTAAACAAAATGTTTCAATCAGACCTGCACATCACTACCTGGGTGACCTTGGGCAAATCACTTAACCTTACTGGGTCTCAGTTTCTTTGTCTTGAAAAATCAAGGACATGGACTAAATTTCCTTCCAGCTCTAAATCCTACTGTCCTAATGCTAGTAGCATTTTCAGGGTAGATTAATTGTTGAGAGGAACTAGAAACAGGGAGAGCATGGAGGAGGCTGCTGCAGTCATCCAGGGGAAGGTTGAAGAAAGCTCGATGACAAGGATAGTGGCACTGAGAATGGAGAGGAGGCGAAGTCATCTTCTTGGAGGAAGAAGTGACAGGCTTTGGAGAAAGACTAGATGTGGGGTAAGGGACAGAAAAGAGTCAGATCTGACTGGGGTTCTGAGCCTGAGCGTCTGGGAGAACGGTGATGCATGCGATCAATAGAAACTGTGAATGTGGAAGCGGAAGCGGTTTGCGGGGAGGGGAGAAGATGAATAATTTGTTTTGGGACCTGTTGAATTTGCGATGCCAGAGGATATCCTGGTGGAGACAATAATACAATTTCATATCACTTCAGGGTTTTGCGAGGCACTTTCCTCACAACTGCCATGAGGGAAGTATTATTATTCCCCGAGGAACTGAGGCTTAGAAAGACTAAGTGACTTGTCTATTATCACATAGCTGCTAAGGATTAGAACTGAACCTGACCTAGAACCGAACCTTGACCTCATCTCCTATAACTCCAAATTCAGTGTTCTTCCCTCTATCCCACATTACACCCAGTGTCCAACAGTTGGAACATGCAGGACTGGGGCTCAAGAAAAGAGGTCAGGCCTGGACACAGAGATTTGGGAGTCACCTACTTTAGAACTGAAGCCACAAGTATGGATGATTTTGCCAGTCAAGCAAAAGAAAGAAGAGGAAGGAGAATGAGAAAGAAAGGGGAGAAAGAAAAGGGTCTAGATACAAGGGTGGGGAGTCTTCAGCCTTGAGGCCACATATGGCCTTCTAGGTCCTTGGGTGCAGCCTTTTGACTGAGTCCAAGTTTTCCAGAACAAATCCTTTTTTTTTATTAAGGGAATTTGTTCTGGGAAGTTCTAGAATCTGTACTTAGGGAGTGGGAGAGAAAGTCAGAATGCCAGGTATAAGCTTTACAATAATTTCTAAAGTGCAGGTTATGAACCCTGAGCCCAATCCATCCATGGGATCATCTCACCCTTGGCCACCTGATGGCAACCAGGTCTATGTTTATGTCTTGCTGTAAAGGAAGAGGGAGGAAAATTCTGGGACTAGAACCAAGGCTGGAATTACAGATGAGACCTGGGTTTGAATCTTGACTCTCATAATTAGTAGCTGTGTGAGGACTGGCAAGCTCATCTAAACTTTCCAAGCCTTAATTCTTTCATCTGTAAAATAGTGACAATAATAATTGCACCACCCACTTCCCAAGGCTTTTGTGGGGGAGAGGGGAAAACATGCTTTGTAAATCTTAAAGAATTCTACAAATATGAATTATTAGTCCAGGCTCATGTAACCTTGGGCAAATCACTTGTCCCTGAAACCCAATTTCTTCTACAAAATGGAGATAGTAATCCCTGTTCTTCCACCCTCCAGTGGCAGTTGGGAAGGTTCCAGTGAGATAATAAGGCTGATTGGAGTAGTATAGGAAGTGTTGGGGGTCTTGAAGTCAGAGGATTTAGAGCCAAAGGGGACCTGAAGGTCCATCCCTAGCCTGTTAAGGATGAGGAAACTCAGATTGTTCTCAGTCAGAACGTTTTTCTTATCTGGCTCTTACTGGGTGACACTCACAGGCCCATTGAGGAGGAAAGAGCATGTTTTAAATCTTGAATTGTACAGGAATGGGAAGGATTTGTAATGTGGGCAGAGTTCTGTAAAAGGCTCTCAATGTGCTATGTGTGATACTTGTCTGGAATCTGGGGTTCCTCCATGCAGGCCTTTCACACCCCTGAAGCTGGCCTTTGCCGCCTGAGGGAAAGTCCTGGAAGAAGGCTGCCACAAGGGGGCCTTCATCTGCAGACTGCACCCAGCCGCCTCCTACTGCAGGACGGCTGGGCAGCAGCTGCCATGGGGACTTTCATGGGGCAGAGGCGGAGTAGAGAGAGCAGATCCAGGGGATCAGGGCCCAGAGAAACCTGATCCATCCTTTGAGAATAGGGACGTGCTGCCTGGCCCAGCCTGAGCTGAAACCCCAGCCTAGGACTCAAGGACAGGAACAGCTGTGGCCTGGGCCCCCCACACCGCCCTTTGCCTCCTCCCACACTCCAGGCTGCTTGGTGCCCAAGAGGCTGGCCAGGTGGTGGGTGGGGCAGGCAGGCCATCCCCAGGAGCCAGTACTTGAAGCTGACTTTCCCAGCGTGGGAGCTGCAAAGCCAGTGGGCTCAGTTTCAGACCTGGCTAGGCTTCCTGGTCACGCTGGGTTAATGGGGCAGCCGAGTTAATGCCGAACAGATGGGGAAGGATTGTGGGCATGGGTGGAGTTGGTGTGTGTGTGTGTCGGGGGGAAGAGCTCTACCCCAACTGTCCCTGACCTGATCCCACGGGAACAGGATCTCACACCCTGCCCCAGCTCCCAGTTATCAGGAGCATAGTCCAGTGTCGAAGACATGCACATATCACACACATACATGGAGATAGACACAGACAATCACAGGATATAGAGCTGGGAGGAATCCTGGAATATAGAATGTTAGAGCTGAACTGGGCCTTATAACATAGAACATCAGAGCTGAAAGAAACCTTAGAACCAAGGATATTAGAGTGGGAAGGAACCTTAGAATATAGAATAAGACATTCTCTTCTGAATCTTGGTTCTTGTAATTAGTAGCTGTGTGAGGACTGGCAGGTCATCTAACCTCTGAAAGTCTTAATTTTCCTCATCTGTAAGGTGGAGACAATAATAACTGCCCCACCCACCTTGTAGGCATTAAAGATATATGGGAAACTTGGAATGTAGAACACAGGATGTCAGAGCTGGAAGGAAGCTGAGAGAACATCTTGCACAGTACATTCATTGTAGAGAAGAAGAAACAGGGCTGGTGAGGGGAGGGGTGAGGTTGCTCAGTGAGTTAGTGATAGAACCAAGACCAGAACTCAGAAAGACCAACACGGATGAAAGACATGCAGCTATGAGTGAGCTAGCACAATACAGTCAGTTTAAGAGATAGTTGGGAGCTGGTTTCCAAGAGACTGACCCAGGCACGCACCCCAGCACAAACATGTTTGGGACAAGGAAAGGATAATCCTGAGCTGGATCTCAGGCCCAAAGCACCAGGTCAGCCTAAGCTTACCCTGCCTTCCTCTGATAAACAGAAAGACTGCCGGACTGGAGCCAGGAGTGCCAGGCTTCACATCCCAGCTCTTCCAACGACCTGCTGACCTTGGGCAAATCCCTTCTTCTCCCTATGCCTGGAGAAGCACAGAGTCTGAAGGAACTACAACAGGATCCCGGGTCAGTCCTGTTTTTCATTTGTGCCACCTGTTGCTGCCCGGCTTCCTTTCTACTCCTCCCTTCCTCTGGGCCTGTCCTAAAGTAGGTCTCTCCACCCCGCCATTTCCGCTCTGCCAAACCTTATAATGCCATCTTTCAGGTTATAGTCTCTCCTCCCTACCCCTAATCCTGCCTTAGGGCAAAAGTCAGGCATGCAAAGGTCTATTCCAAAAAATAATTTATCAAAGGTCATATATATATGCATAGACACATTATGTACATCAACATTCCTTGGGGTCAAGGGAAGGGAAAGGAAGGGAAGGAAAAGGGAGATGAGGGGAGGGAAGGCTTTAGGTAGGGTTGGGTCCTTCCAGGGACAACTTCAGGTGAAAAGGACCTGTGTTTGTCCCTCAATGATACTGGGCTCTGGTAAAAAAAAAAAAAAAAAAATCAAGGCACAACTGTATTGAATAGGCAGCCATTCAAGATCAGGCCTGTTCTTACCCTTCTTAGGGGAAGGCCAGGAACCTGAGAGAAAGTTCCAGGGCAGAGTCAAGTTCTTGAGATCAGAAACAGAGCCCAAGACCAGGGTATTCATATCACTGCTGTCTCAGTTCACAGCTGGTTTGGTTCACCTCATGTCCTTACACTGTGGTAGATGAAGGGGCTTGGGCCCAGACTCCCCGGGGCCAGAGGCTCATGGGTGAAGACAGAGTCATTGGAAGAGCAGGTGCTGCTGGTGTCCTCGCCGGCTGGGGAGTACTGCTCAAAGGGCATTGAGAGGTCCAGGTACTGTGGCAGGGAGAAATCAGCAATGGAGGAGAAAGGAGAGGCAATCTTAGCTAGGCTGGCCCACGGCAGACAACCAGGTCTGCTCTAGCTGGTCCCAGAGACTCCATCCCAGCCCTGCCATCTCTGACCTTGGGATACCCAATCCTAGGCCTGTTCTGGACCTTCCCTTTGCCCCTCCCTCTACTTCCCTTGAACCATAGTCTCCTGATCTGGGGTCCTTACTGTGCCCAGGTCGTCTGTCTGGTTTGGGTTGGGAGTCCAGATAGAAGAGGGAGAAATTAAACATGAAATAAAAACAATAATTTCCATTTCCATAGCACAAACCACCTTCCCTACAATAGCTTTGAGGTGTGAAGGTGATTCTTCCTGTTTTACAGATGAGGAATCTGAGGTTCAGAGAGGTTAAGGGGTTAGGTCACATAGCTAGGAAGTAGGAAAAGTGGGACCTGAAACTGGGTGGTCTAACTATGTCACACTATCTCTTGACGAGGCCTGGAGAAAGTAGTGCGCAGATGTGTTTGGGGGAGGGGAGGACTGGAAGGTCAGGCATGGGATGAGTGTCCACCAGGAACATACCTCCTCAGAGATGGCTGTCAAGATCTTGTTCAGGGCCTCAACCAGCTGCTTGAAGGTAGGTCTCTGGGAGGGTATGGCATGCCAGCACTCACGCATCAGCATGTACCTGGGGCAGACAGAGTGAAGGGAAGGGGTCAAGGACCTGGAGGGGAGGAAGAAACTGTGGGCTAAGGGGAAAGAGAATAAGAAAGGAGAGTCAGAGCACCAGGGGAATGAGAGGGGTTATAGTTCCAAATGAGAAGGGGAAGAGGGGACGAGCAGGAGGCTCATGGGGGAAGGAAATGGATCAGAGAATAAGGAGGTGGCTCACAGCTCTGGTGGACAGTGGGAAGGCCGGTCCATACGATGTCCTTCTCTCAGCAGTGAGAAGAGCTCTTCTACAGGGATGCCAGGGTATGGGGAGCCACCCAGGGTAAAAATCTCCCACAGCAGGATCCCAAAAGACCATCTAGTGGGAGGGAGGGCAGAATTGGAGTTAGCTTGGGCCATGATGGATTGTACACTCCCCACTCCCACCCAAGAGCCAGGGAAAACCATCACTGACTTCAAGTTAGGAGGACAGAGACTGGGATTAGGGGAGGAGAGGAAGATGGGGCTGGAAATCAGGAATACTAAGTCTGCAGCTAGGACCCCCAGGCCTAACGATCCTAGGTTATAGGGAAACATTAGGTGGTACATAACATACACTTAATAAATGTTTGACAACTGGTTAACTGAAACATGGTACAGAGTGATAGAATATCAAAGCTGGAAGGGATCTTAAGCATCATCCAATTCAACTTTTTCATTTTATGGAGGAGGAAACTGAGGCACAGTGAAGGTACTGACAGTGAAGGGAACTGACATGCCTGGAGTCACACAGTAAGTTAGTGGCAGAGTTAAGATTAAAACTCAGCACTCCCACCTTCCCACTTCAGTGCAAGGGGTAAATATGCTCATTCAGAGGCTCCAGGACTCCCAGAACTTACACATCACTCTGGTGAGTGTAGACTCGGTCAAACAGGGCCTCAGGTGCCATCCACTTGACAGGCAGACGGCCCTGCAGTGGGGAACAGGACAAGGCTACTCATGGCCAGGGTCCCTGTCTGAGCAGGGCGAGATGCTGGGGCCCTGTGCTAGGACCTCCAGCCCTGCCTGTAGTGCTTTAAGGTCTCAGGAGAAGGAGGAAAGGCAGCTTCTGTGCATGCATGTGTGTATGTGTGTGAGAGGGAGAGGGAGGGAGGGAGGACTGAGAAAGAGAGACAGAGAAAAGGAGGGAAGGAGAGAAAGAAGAGAGGGAGAGAAAAGAGACAGAATCAGAGACAGAGAGAGAAAGAGAAGAGGGAGAGAAAGAGAGAAAAGTGAGGGGGGGAGAGAAAGAGAAGAGAGAAGGAGGGAAGAGATAGGAAGAGGGGAGTTGGGGGGCTAGGTCACACTCCTCTTAGAACGCTAGGGGGCCCTAAGCTGATCCTTACAGCTTAACTCGAGGTGACTGATTTGGAAGGAAGGAGAGCAGAGACAAGCAGAACTATTGTGGCAGGGCAGCGCCGCTCTGGAGAGGCAGGTTTCCCGGGTATCTGTTTGTATTCTTCTGTTATGTGCTGCACACAACAGTAAGTCTCCTGCATTGGAATGCCTTATAAATTGCCTATGGTCTCAGACATAGACTATACCAAAAGGATGGGCGCTGATGATTCAGCGCCAAGGTAAGTGACTTCTGAGTCCTTTCCCTATTTTTTCTGCTAGGTCTGGGTCAGAGGTTGAGAGATCCTTGCATTACCCCTTCGCATGTGGCCGCTCTGATTTCTTGTTCACCCTCCTCTATTTTTACCCTTTACCTACGTATCCTCGTGCCCTCTCCCCTCCCCCTTCACTTCCTCTGGGCATGCCTCCCTGGCTCACTCACATTGCTGGTTTTCTTGTAGTAGTCAATGTCATGAACACCCCGGGCCAGGCCAAAGTCCGCAATCTTCATCACATTGTCCTCAGTAACTAGCACGTTTCGGGCAGCCAGGTCCCTGTGTATGCACTGGGATAGGGGCATCAGGGAAAAGTCTCAGGCCAGTCAACTGCTCCCCCTAATTCCCAGTCCTCCCATCCCAGAGGAAGAGGTAGTTTTCTTAGCCTGAGGTGCACCCACCCATCCCCTCACTACATCATAGCCTGAGTCTTCTTTTCCAGATGTGGGAACAGCCAATACAGCCTTCTGCTCCAGGGGGGTGGCATGAATAGAGAGTGCTTACTCTATCTTTCTCCAAGGTCAAGGATATAGACACTCAGGGTCCTTTAGAAGTGTGTTTGGGGAAATTCCAGAGACAACTATAGATATTGCAGTAGAAAGAGCTCTAGGCTAATGGAATGACAAGATTTTAGAACCTGAAGAGATCACTGAGGCTGGATTTGAACCCATAACCTTTAACTCCAAATTCAGTGCTCTTTCTACTATACCACACTGTCTCCAGGAAAACTGGGTTGGAATCCTGGCTCTGATCCTGAATAGCCTAATGTTACCTCTCTAAGCATCAATTTCCTCATCTGTAATGGGAACAGTACATACATCTGACCTCCTGGCCTCATAGCATTTTGTGAAGAAAGTGATTTCTACGCCTGACTGTGCTACAGAAACGGAGCTGTTGTTACTCTTGAACTTGAAAAGGTCTGTGATGTCACCAGTGCAGGTGGTCCGTTCTCGGATGCAGATCCCAGCCCCCTCCCTCCATGCCTTAGTTTCATGGTTTGCTGGGGCCTAGCCTCTGCACTTAGGCTGGTCCTGAGACAAGAAACATGTAGTCTGTCCCCTGGCTCATACTCAAAGCCTTTTCAGCTTTGTAGACTAAAGCTGGCACAGTCGGCTTTAGCTCATCCATGCTGTGCTTAGGCATCATAGGAGGATAATGAAGGACCATCATCACCACCACCACCATCATCATCTCTTGATAGTATTAGCATCTCTTCAGCTAGGATGTTGGGCTGAAGGCTGTCCTCCCGTCTGCCCTCACCTTCCGAGACTCCAGATATTCCATGCCCCGGGCCACTTGGTAGGCACAAGAGACCAGGTCCTGGAAAGACAGCTGTTCCTCAGGAGTCCTGGGTGCCTCCAAGGTGTAGTCAGGACTAGGTGGTCTTCTTGCCCGAAGGTACTCTCGGAGGTTGCCCTTGGCAGCAAATTCGACGATCACGTACAAGGGCCCTATGGTAGGAGTGACAAGATCATAGATTGAATCGGAAGGTACTTTGAAATCATCTAATCCAACCCTTTAATTTGACAAGATGAGGGAACTGAGGCCCAGGGAGGGTAAGTGACTTGTCTCAGGTCACACAGCTAGTAAGTGGTCAAACTAAGATTCCAGCCCAGGTCGGAGATTCCAAATTCAGCACTTCCTTTTCACAACCCAATGGATTCGCTCTTCTCCCCACCTCCCCTGGCACAGATTGTCTCTTCTCTCCCTTCTCTTGCCCCGTGGTCCCACCTTCCTGGGTGCAGACACCCAGCAGATTGATAATATTCTTGTGCCGGCCAATGAGCTTCATCATTTCCATCTCAGAGATCAGGTCTGCCAGGTCTTTGTCAGAGGCATTGTCTGTAGCAGATGACACGCAGGGAGGGCGGGGATGGAGTGTGGGCACCATAGAAGTAGAGAGGGTGGGTGCCCCTCCTTCAGGGCCCAGATCCAGCACTATCTCCTCCAGGAAGCCCTCCCTGATTCCCTTCCCCATTCTCTTCCGAAGAAGAAGTGATCCCTTTTCCTTGATTCATAGGGTTTGAAGCTGGGCAGGACTTTTCTTAGAACATAAAACACAGGGTGTTAGGGCTAAAAGGGACATTCAAGGTCACATAGACCAACTTGATTATTTTATATATGAGTAAAATGAGGCCCAGAGAGGGAAATTTCTGAATTTGCTGAATTTCACATAGATATTAAGTAGCAGAGCCTGGATTTGAACCCACATCCAACACCAAACTCAGAGCTCCTTCTGCTGCCCCACAGCTGCTTTTCCCATTCAGGCTGTTCTGCTTGCTCCCTCTTGTGTGCTCTAAACTCAAGTGTATAACTCCTCTCCCCTCAAGCCCCACTAGACTATAAGCTTCTTGAGGGCAGGGTCTGTATCATATCTAGCTGTGCATACATGGTACTGAACACAGGTTCCCTGCATCTAATAGGAATTTAATAAAAGTCTGTTACATTTTACTGGTGGGGAATGCAGGGATGGAGGATGTTGTGGAAGACACAGAGGGTGACGTGGGGGACAGAAAACATCCTTGTACAGGGGCCATGCCCTTCACTCACCTTTCAACATTTTGATGGCCACTGTGACTGCCCCATCTGGTTGCTGAGGGTCCATGCCATAGGCCTCTGCCCGCACCACCTGCCCAAAACAACCCTCACCAAGGGGCTTCCCTAGCACCAGCCTAGAGAGACAGAGACCAAAGGCTTACCTGGGGCAGCAGCCTCAGCTTCCCATCCATGAGGAATAGGAGGCAGGGGGTTAAAGTAGCTGGCTGTGTGGCCTAACTTCCATCAGACTCCCCTGTAGCCAAAGCTGGCTTACTCAGGTGTACCCCCTTCTCAGACCTATTGCCCCTCCAACTCAAGTGCTGTCCAGACCTCCCCATCAACTTCTAACCCCCTTCATTTTCTTCCTGCCTTTCACTCCCCAGGGAAGTAGAAAAAACAGGAGAATGTATGTAGGACCCAAGGGGAGGGATGGGAAAGAATGACCTGCATCTGGCCCAGGGACTGGCTGGGGGCCTAGAGAAAGCTCCCACGGAACCCACCTGTCCCGGAGAAACTCCCACTTGGCATCGAGTGGCAGGTCTAGTTCCACAAAGCCAGGAAGCATAGGGGTACAACTGGAAGACAGGCGGCCTCCTCGAACAAGGGAAGAACTCAACTTCCCTGATGAGCCTGACTCCAGGGAGAACTGTCAGGGTAGAGAAACCAGATCAATGAAGGTGAAGACCAGGCCACTGAGGGCATAAGGCTGGGTGGGGCCAGGAAGGTATAAGGGGAGAGATCTGGGTCATCGAGGGCATGGGCTGGGGAGGCCAAGAGGTTATAAGGGGGAGAGATTTGGGAGAGTGAGGGTTCTGGGAGCAAAGGAGAAGACCTGGGTCAGTGAAAGTCTAGAGGACAGTAAGTGGCACACAGGACTGGAAGAGGCTGGGAGGTCCCCAGTGCCTGTATCTCAGCACTCCTTCTCCTAAGAAGAAGACGGGTTGAGCCAGCCACATACCTGTCTGATGAGGGGGAAGCGTGAGAGCTTCTGCACAGCAAGGGGCTGACGGGACGTCCGACTGGACAGTGTCTGCCCCCGGCACAGCCCAAAAATGATCAGGATCACAATCACAGCCAATGAGCCCGACGCGTAAATGATGATGTCTGTGACCTTCACCTCTGATGCACCAGCTTCCCACGCCAGCCCCTCTTCTATCCCACATGGGCCGGCACACACAGAGATGTTTACAGTGCGTTAGTATTTCAGAGAGTGGGGTCTGGTCATTTACAACTCCCAACACACACAAACATGCACACCCAGGATACTCAAACTGAATTCTCTGCTATGTGCACATGTGTATATACCAACTCAGATGCACATACGAACTACCACACACATGCATTCACGTGTATACACATGCTTTCTCTTCCCATCCCCCACCCAACTTTCACCTTTCCACCCCTGCCCAACTCATGCCATCCTGGGAGATGAATCAGAACCTAGGATCTCCTGGGCCTGGAACCTTTGCCACACCCCCTATACAGAACTCCAGCTGCCAGGGTCTTACCGGGCAGCACCGTGAGCCAGGCTGATTGGTAGGAGAGGCCGATGGAGTTGCCAGCCAGGCACGTGTATTCACCTGCATCTTCCGCTGACACGTTACGTAAGTACAAGACCTCTACCTCCGAGCTGTTGATATCAGCAGTCTGCAGGGAAAAGGTGAGGGTGAAGAGTGGGGCAGGGCAAGGCCAGAACACTGAGGGTGCCCCAAGCCAGATAGACCCCTTCTTTACCCTTCCCCCTAGGCTTGCTGGGTCCCCCTTTTCCCACCCTGCTTCCCTCTCCCACTCAGGCAACAAGCATGTTTTAAGTGCTTACTATGTAACAGGTATTGTATTAAGCACTGGGGGTACAAAGAAAGTCAAAACAGGGTCCCTGCCCTCAAGGAGCTCACATTCTAAATCGGGAGACAACATGCAAACAACTATGTGTATATATGATGTAATGGAAGGCAATCTCATGGGAAAAGTGATATCAGGGAGGGGCCTGGGAAAAACCTCCCATAAAGGTGGCCTTAGAGCTGAATCTTCAGGGACACCAAGATGTGGGGGAGAGAGCATTCTCTGGCTGGTGGGCCTCCGTGCCTACCTTGAGCACCTGCACGAAGGGGAAGCCGTCAGCCCCAAAGCTGCTCCCATTGACCTCGATGTGCTTCAGCCACTGGATGTGGGGCTGGGCATCGCTGTATACTTTGCACAGGAGCTCCACATCACTGCCAACCACAGCTGTGGTGTTGGCAGGCAGGCCAGCCTGCAGGATGGGCCGGTGTGGGGAGCGCTCTGCAGGGTGGGGAGCAGGGTCAAAGCTGTCCCTGGCCCCCCTCCTGAGGCCAGCGAGGGCTCCAAAACATGGTATTTAGAGCTGGAAGGAACCTTAAAGGTCAACTCCCTTTACTCCATCATTTTACAGAAGATACTGAGGCTAGAGAAAGGAAGTGACTTACCAAATTTCTATAGCTATGGAATAGTAGAGCCAGGGGTTGAACTAGGATCTTTTGATTTCTAGGCCAATGTTCTTTCTACTTATGGTCCCCCTCCCCTCTTCCCTACTTCAGAGGAGACCGGCCCATGGCGTCTGCATCCCACCTTGTTCCTCCCCTAGGACTCCAAGACCACTACTCACCCAGCACATCGAGGAGGTAGCTGTATCGGAGACTCCCCAGGGCATTCTCTACCACGCAGGTGTAAGTTCCACGGTCTGAGGGCACCACGCTTTCCATGACAAGACTCCAGTGCTGATGTCTGAGCTGGAGGGAGAACGAGTGGCCCAGCCAGACCCCAAAAGTGAGAAGACAGCCGCCCGGAAGACTTATCCACATGTGTCTGCAGACCTTCTATTTGCAAGTACATGTGCACATGTATGTCCTCACACACACAGACATGGGTACAGACAGTCCCCCCCTTTGGATAGAAAAGCAGAAACTGTGTTCACCTGTCTATGAAGACCCATAGCTGTTATTCACATCAACACATGCACACCCACACACAGGTCCTCATATGAACATACACCTGCAAAAACACATGCACCGCTGGGCTTTGTCAGTGGCAAGAGTTACAAACTCTGGTCCCTGCGTATCCAGTCCTTACACATGCAGATGCATAGAAGACATGTGTTTTTACACAGATATATATGTAGACACATGCATGTACCTTCATGTAGGCTGTATAGGCACACATTTTGGCAACATCAATGGGAGGGTGGCAGACAGTCATATTTTCTATAATCCTTACAAATGCAGATACATACCCACACCGCCCTGCCTCGTGCAGGCAATCCCTTGTGTGCGGTCACACATAAGAGATCAAAGAGAGTGCACACAGTTTCTAGGCTGAGGCACACACCCTGTTCTCAGTAGGACAGTGAGCTGCTTAGGGAGGCTACCACTGGAGCTCTAGAAGGTAGGGAGAACTCTGAAAGGGAAGCTGGGAGTGGTCAGACACATTTTGTCTTGCTCACAGTTTTGCCAGCTGGGGGCCACCAGAAGCAGTAGAGTGTAGCAGCTTGGCTTAGGACCTGACTTTAGGTCCTGCCTCTGCCACTTAATGTTACCTTGGGCAAATCACTTAATCTCTCCGGGCCTCAGTTTCCTCAACTCACCTCACAACAAGAAAATGCTTGCCCTATGCAACATAACCCACAGGGTGATTGGGAGAAATTGTTATTATCATGAGACTCCTAAGAGAGGAGCTGCCCACAAGGCACAGCTGGGAGTAAGTCTGGGCAGGGGTGAGGTCCAGGCCAAGATTTCTTGCTCTATCTCCCAAGTTCTCACCCGGATGCCTCCAATTCGGTGCTCTCCATGGAAGTCTTCTCCATTCTTCAGCCAGCGGATGGTGGGCATGGGGTTGCCTGCAGCTGGGCACCGAAACTTGACTGTGTTGCCTGCAGGCACTGCATGCAGTTTCTTCTCCATGCGATGGGGATGTGTCCAATAGGGGCCTAAAGGGAACAAAGCCCAGGAGGGCTGGAGGGCCATCTCAATGGAAAGGGACATTTCCATCTCCACTGGCCCAGGAATGTCAGAGTGGGAAAGGACCTTGGAGCTCACCTGTTCTAACTTAAACCTGAAGAGGGATTCCCTTCATGGTTGAAGGTAGTGGTATTGGAGAACTTGCATTGGTGACAGGGAACTCACTACTTGCAAGCAGCCCATTCCCCTTCTGAGCAGCTCTGATTGTTAGGAAAGTTGTGTCTTCTTGGAAGAAACCTGCCTCCCTGCATCTTCACCCCACTGCCTTAGATGTTCCCTCTGACACGAAGGAGAGTAAGTCTGATTGCTCTTTTGCATGACAAGTCTTCAAACACTGAAGGACAGTGATTATTTCCTTCCTAAGTCTTCTAGTCTCAACATGCCTAGAATAGGAGATCTCTGAATTGGGAAGGGACCTCAAAAACCATCCAATCTCATCTGTTCCTAAGCAGGAATCCCCTGGACAACATTCCCAACAAGTATTCATCTAACCTTTCCTTGAAGACCTCCAATGATAGGGAGCTCTTCCTCTAGGGGCCATCCATTCCATGTGTGGATAGCTCATATTATTAGCAAATATTTCCCTATATGGGGCTAAAACCTGCCGCTCTGTAACTTCCCCAGTTACAGGCTTCCACCCCCTGAAGCCAAACAGAATGACTCTAATCTATCTCTTCCCCAAGGGATAGCCCTCCAAGTTCTTGAAGACAGTTATCGGGGCCCTTTTTGCGAAGCTAACCCTCCTTCCAAATGCCATTTTCTTTTGTTTGGCTTCCCAGCCTAGAAACCTCAGTTGAGCCCCAGGAGTCCTTCTCTTAGGCCTGTTTCTAAGTTTGAGCAGGTTAGAGGAATGAGTTACTGACCTTGCTGTGGATAAATGTGCCCCTTGGGAAGGTCCCTGTGGGGGCTGTCACTGTCTTCGTCATCATCCCCAGAGGCCAGAGAATCTGTTAGCCAAAGAGAAGTGGTCAGATTGAAGCATAGAGGCCAAAGGCCCAGGCTAAAGCAAGACCCGGCCTGCCCCAGGCCTCCGGCCCCTCTGCTCCGCCCTTTTCTCACTTCATCTTCTTCCCTCCTACCTATGACGGAGATGGTAAGGTTGTACAGAACTTGGCCAGATCCTCTTGACACACATAGGTAGAGGCCAGCATCTTCATATACTAGAGTGGCAATTTCCAGACGGCCTCGCCAGGCTCGCACACGGCCTGATGGTGCCAAGCGACTGCCTTCTTTATACCAGTGGCCACCTCGATTGGCACGACCACAGCAGAGTCGTAGTGCCTGGCCCAGGGCCAGGGTCAGGTGCTGTTCCAGCTCTTCTGGGCCTGGGGCTTGGCAGGACTCTGTGGGCAAACCACAAGGGGATAAGGAAGAGAATTCAGGGCCTGGATTTAAGTCATACCTTGATTCTCATTCCCCAGGGGCTTGTGGGAAGACCTAAAGATGCGGGGGGGGGGGGGGGGGGGGGGGGG